ACGTTTGCCTTGGTTTTTGGTTAACTGCCTGCAGCGCTTACAGTGCTTTGATTATATTTGCTGAAGGATCTGTTCAGAAATGTCAACCAAACAATATAAAAACACTTACTGTATAAAACATTTACTCCCCAATGAAATTAAGACCATTTATTCATCTCTCAACTTTCATTTTCTTGATACACTTTTTGCTGGACGGAAAGCTACCAACAATGAATAAGTTTGCTTATCTTAATAATTATTTTTCTCAACTTATAGGTACAATAGAATGCATAGGCCCAATAAAGTTGCTAATCTAATCTAATCTAAGTCCCTTATCTAACGGCAAAATCAAGCTCAAACACATCAAACGAATGGAAAACAACTGTCATATTCCTGACTTGGTACAGGCATTTCCTTATTTATAGCTAGCTAAATCTCTCACTTGTATGACAGTGGCATAAAATTTTATATTTCCGAAGATCTAAGACCTGGATACTTCATATCTTGTATACAAATGCCTTATGTTCTGACTTTTCCATCTGTCCATTGTCCTTGACCTCTGAACTTGATAATGTCTGTTTCTCAGATAATAAGCAATAGGTCAGCTAGCTATTTGTGTATAGAATGATAGTCAAGAACATGTCTTGTCTGGCAGGTCCATCTGACCTTGACCTCATTTTCATGGTTCATTGGTCAACGTTTAGTTTTCTGGTTTAGGTCCATTTCACACAGGCAATAAGTAAACTATCTTTGGTTTAGGAATGATTGAAAGATGAACATGTGGGGGTGGGTTAAAACCTTGACCTCATTTTCATGGGTCATTTATAATGTTAAGTTTATGTGATACTGTTAAATCCTTCATAAAGACTTTCAATATAAATTCAATTATGATCAGTGAAGCAGACGAGACATTCCAGCAAGTTCTCTCTTGTTATCATATTCAAGTTCTGAATTGATAATTAACAACTATGAATAAAAGGTGACGTAGGGTATACACATTGACGAGACATCCATCCAAATCCAGCAACACAAAAAGCCTCAAGTCATACGATATTATTATTACTAACAACTCTATTATTCAATAACTTTACTCAGCTCTCTTGCAAGGGGCTACCAATCAAAATAAACACAGCTCTTTCTTGTCATTAATGTCCATGCTACTGACCAAAGGGATTATAATTATTCCAGAACGTTTCAGTGGCATAGCTATTTTTGAGACAGTAAGGCAACTCAATAAATTTTGACCAAGAAAAAAGAGAGAAAGAAGGATAAAATGGTACAACGTCTATTCCGTAGTAAACTTACAACTACGTTAAACTGGTCATTCTTTTTTTATAAAAGAGAAACGTACTAATTCATTCTTTCAATCTGTATCTTTCAAGTACTAGACTTAGTGCATAGACGAAGAGGAAGTCAAATTCTTTGAAACTATTGCATGAGGAAAGATACCTTATTGTATATGCATGTACTGTGTCACCTTGTGAACTACCGCTTTAAAAATCATACCTAGCGTTCAAATCCATATCACATTATCCTAGTCTCGTCCTGGTGTTCATGTTATAATTGATGATCTTAGGGATTTTCAGATATCTATAACAGTAGTTCAGAATTTGCATCTGATGTTTCTTATTTTATTTTGTATGTCTTGATAACATGTATATGTCTCTGATGATTGTATACCAATGAATTATTGGATTTGGTTTGATTTACACCGATCATAGAACAGTATCCATGAATCCTTATTTCAATTGAAAAAGCTCGTGAAAATTGTGAATGTAGGACAAAGTCACCGGACAAAAAGTCAGACAAAAAGTCACCGGACAAAAAGTCACTGGACAAAAAGTCACAATTCAGTTTTGAGATTATTTTTCTTTGAATAAGAAAACACTTATTTTTAAAAACATGAATTGTATTTTTCGATTGAATTATTATATATAAAGCAACTTTGTACACAAAAATTATTCTGAAAAAAAAAATAATTATCATATAATTGTTAAGAAACAATTTGTCAAAGTGGCTTGGTACTTAAATGGCTTCATGGTATCAAGAAATATATCCTTTGACTGTTTAAAATTTGATAAATCTTCATTAATCAAGGCTTATGAACGATTTCATTAACTGTAACATTAATATATAATAAAAAGAAATTATTTCAAGAACTTTCTCTTATATTTTCAAACAATTCCAAACAAATTATTTGTGACTTTTTGTCCTATCAAATTTGTGACTTTCTGTCCTGTGACTTTTTGTCCTGTAACTTTCTGTCCGTTTACCAAAATTGTCAACCTGATGACTCAAATGGGAGCATAAAAATGTTGGGATTCGATTGAAGTTAAAACTAATCCACACGTAAATGTAAACGGCATATCGCAGTACGGTCATTACCACTGAACAACAGGCTCCTGCATATATATGGTTTGATTTGATTTATTAAAGTCTTAATTATGTCCGCGATCCTTTTTGTGTAACACTGTCTTGATACAACTGTTCTACGTGTACTTAATTTGTTTAAAAAAAATTGTTTTTAGTTATACGTTTTTACGATCATCACGATCATGTTGGGGAATAAAGCAGATGTGACATATACATCCCTGTTCCATGATAAACAATATATATTAGATTTACTTGTATGTGTTTCCATAAACTGAATCATGTTATTTGTATAAGGCGATTGATATTTATAGTGCTCCAGGTTATCTTGTTTGTAAACAGGTTATGAGCAGCTAATAAATTTTCATACTTTAACTTGTTCCTGACGTTTATACAATGTGAATTTAACTATTGCAAATTTCCCAAATGTAAATTAAATCCACATCTGCCATGTATACAATACAATACAATACAATATTTTATTTTTCCAAATTAAAGGGCCCATGAAGAGTGTCACAACATGACAAAACATATGTATGAAAAAAGCAGTGACGTAATAGTGATATATATATAGGTATCGTTATTTTTGGAGCATGACTCTAATCTGAATTCAAGCGTAAATGTTTGTATATATCTGTTACAGCGCGCATGTATGTTGTGGTAGTTTTGTTTTTGTAACAAAACTGGGATTTTTGTTTTGTCACGTTGGTTTATCTCTTTCTCTCTTATGAATGATTATCGGCTTTCCAGTGCACGGCCTGAGTACGCCTCCCGAACCCAACCCGATACTGAACTCAAAGTTCACCTCCTCCCCTTGGGCACCTAGCGGAGTTCACCCTCCTTGGTTTAGATTTGGCATGTGTTTCGCAATCTGCAGTTTTATGTGTATAGCGTTTGGTAGACCCGAGGGTAGACCGTTCAGTAAAATTATCATTGTGTTGTCCGTACGTTTGTCTTCTATTCGGTATTTTCTTAACTGTTTACGGATTTACTCCTTACATGGTTAACAAATGGCGAACCATTTGACCTGTTTTGAGGGTTCATCAGATTTAATTATGAGAGTTGTACCTAATTCGGCTGAATTATTTCACTTTCCCAGAATTAACTTTGCAATGTAACATTCAAAGAATAATGTCGGTCATTTATTATATGGCGCATGGGGGAATCACTTACTTAAATGGGGGAATCACTTACTTAATTATAAACCAGCCGAATAGTTAAAACTGAGTGAATGAGTGTATGTTACAAACAATTTCCTAGCTCTGTCTTAAAACAATACCGGCTGTTTTGATTGGCGAATTGTTTGCCTTCCCTCTCTCCCCCCCCCCCCCCCCCAAAAAAAAAATAAATCAACTGATGCACGAGCTTGGTCAAGAGATATGTCATTTAGCTTTCACGAATACACAGGTGATGACCAAGAAGGACGAGTTCCAGTCGTATTCAAGTTGTCGGTTTTATATGCTATTAAAAGCAAAAGGAGGCCTAGCCCGTGTAGAACGAGTGCCACGCTCTCTACCATCATTGTTCCTGTGACAGTAAAAATTTCCCGCCCTTCATTTGGTCTGTCTGCTTTCTGAAACTTCTCTATTGTATTAAATGTTAATTTGTTCTCGTCCTGAATTCCATGAAATACTATCATTTGCTACTGGACGTTAAGCAAGCAAGCAACAACCAAACAATCATTTTTATTTGTTTTTATGACACTATCTTTTATTTTGTGTTTGATATTTTTATCACATGTGTTTTTCTAAAGTCATGTTTGCAATCATGAACTAGGAGATTTAGGAAGGTTTGTTTTTCAATAAAACAGAGTATGTGCTAAAAAAAATATGAAATGCAAATAAAACCAAATCATATCAAATCATTTATTGGTTTAAAATTCAAATTTAAGATCGTTATACCAAGACATACGACTCAATACTTACAAATGTATACAAAATTCAATGCTATAACAAACATTCAAGACAGACATATTCAAATATATATTAGAAGACAAGAAAATACGAATATAGACTGTCGAAAGAGATATACGTTTGCCAAGTTAAAATGTACAAATGTATAAGTACTACAATATTCTTAATATGAAAATTAAAAATGAAAATAAGAAAAAAAAACAAAAAAAAAAAAAAAACTATACATATATGTAAAAGTAAATAATATAGAAATTTGTGCAATTTTACTATACTTTTTATGTTAAGCTAAGTTATTTCTTAATATTTAATAATTAATTAACCCCCTTACAGGCTCATTTTAGTATATGTCATACTCGTTAAATGTTAATACAGATTAATAATGTTCTTCATCATTCGATTTTTTTTATTGATTGATACTTTCAATTTCGTTAAAGCAGAGACATATAACACAATATGTCTCTGCTTAAAGCATTGTGTTGTTCTCTAGGTTTTTTTTTTACAAAATTTGACATTTCGTTGCACAATGCACATGATCCTCGTCAACTATTTCCGTTGTCTCTCGTGTTCAATATTTGAATTACTATAATTGTTTAGTCTTATTTTAAATTTATAGAATAGGATATTAAGTTAATACATCATTTAAAAAGGATTGTTGTATTGGTAAAATTAACTGCATGATGTCACACAGATTGATTCATATATGTGTCATTCATTTACCAGTTTACCTGGTTAAATAATTACCTGTGTTGAGATCACGTGATCAAATAAGCGACATTTTGAACCAAAGAGTGTTTACCTGCGACATGAAATAGGAAATAAGTTGAGATCGAAATTTTACTGAATTTAATGTAACCGAAAAGTTGATTAGAAATGATAAATTTGTTCACTGCCGTCGTTCTTTCATCAATATTTTGTTCAGGTAAGTAGTTTCAAGTACATTTTTGAAATTCCTGAAACAGCGTGACGATACCAAAGTGTCCAAATAAATACAAAACAGAAGAGATTTCTCACCCAAAGTCCCATATATCCATATGGGTTATAACTTTTGGACCAATAAAATTATCATGCGTTAGTCCCTTATTATAACAACCCGCGTCTAAGGCGTCTTGGATATTCTATCCCAAATGGGATGAATTATATAAGCCATTATTTTTTCTGTAGTTTTTATAAGACTTAGTAAAACAATCATTTTGGGGAATTTCTCTTGACTGCATTGCTCTAAAAGAGTGTTAATTTGTCTGTATTTAATACACATTTTGACATTTTAGTGTCTTTTAAAGTATAATTTCATGGACAATGAATATCTCATTATGTGCACATTATATTCTTTGTTTTAATAGTTCTTCACCATGTTCAATTACAGAAAACCATCATTATATTTTCCCGATAATAGGTAGAACTTTAATAATGAACTAAGCAAACCAGAAAATGTTTAAGGCATGTTTTGATCTCCCAAAACTTATGAATTTCGGGGTTTGTAAAAAAATAATTGTACAAGTAAATTTTTGGAGAAGCACAAAGGGGAGATTATTCAAACCTTGAAAAAAAAGAAAATAGAATCTTACAAATGTACTTTTTCGAGTAATTATTACTTACATCCTCAAGTAAATGTATATGAACATGACTTAAATGAGTTTTGCCCCTGATTGAACTCTAAGATTGATTGTTTTATGCTTAATGTCGATCCAGTTGCAAATACTTCATGCATAATTTGGATATTAAAATTAGTGCTAAAATAGTAAGTTTTTAGTTTATTTTTACACTTTTGGGAAAGATGTTTGATGGAAAACTGCCTTCTCAACTTGTTACACACAATGATGTACAGCTATGTTAGTTGTGTAGATAATAATGCAAGGGAAATGATGATTAACTGAAATATATAAATATGGTACATTTTTTGTAGTTCAATGAAATTTAGCTAGTGTCTTTTTAAAAAAAATGTTGGATATTGGTATTATGGTATATGTATATTATTGCACTTAAGGTAGAGAAAGTTAAGAAGAGAGTGCTGCCCGCATACATGGCATATGCCTTAAAAGATGTTTAAACAATTTCTGTAAATTGTTTCATTTTTGTAGCTCTCAGTTGCCATAAAGCAGTTAATTGTTTATTCTTTCAGGGGTCGAATCATTGAATGGTAAATTTGTATGGAGTCTTAAACCTGCGTATTGGTACAATGAATTACAGATAACTAAAATTCAAATTAAAATATTTTATTGGTTAATGCACATAAAAGAGATATGACATTGTTATTGTATAATCCAAATGTACAACATTCATGACATATACAATATGACAATTATGATGTAAATAAAACATAATACATGTACATAACCAGTGAAAATTAATTATATTCTAAAACCACAAGTATTTTTTTTTTTGTATAGTACATGTACCTCCATTTCTTAGTTTAGTACTTTAGTAGCATAACAGTATTAACACATGCATTTTTTAAGCCTTAACTTTACAGGATGGGTTTACCGGTACTTCAATATTAAAGACTCACAGCGTAATGAATTTGACCTGTAATCCTTCTTTGTTCTTTGGTTGTTTTATGAAAAGTCGTCTTATTGGCAACCTGGTTACATTAGAGAAAACAGTCTATATTGAATGAAATATTAAAGATGTATAAGAATACATGTAACATTGTTACAGTTGATATATATAGCACAGTTCTATTAAATTAGCTCAGGGAATGAAATTCAATGAAAACATTTTTTATTTTTAAAAACTATTTCCCCATAGAACCATCTGTTTAATATTTTTCAGTTTTTGCTGTAAGACCAGAAATAGTAGATGATATTTTACCAGAGGTGAAAAAACAAGGTCAAACAGCATACCTGAATTGTTCTGTCATAAATTTACAGTCTCCAGCACAGGTACATCTATATATAATCTATCTAGAAGGCTGAGAACTTATCCCAAAATTAAATTTTCAAATACAGAGGCCTTTTATACATTTGTACATTGTAGCTTATGTTAATAAAACAATACCTGGGTTTCTGTTTCTGAATTTTTTTTTGTGGTCAGTATAGGTAGAGTACAACAGTCAGAGAAAACAATGTCTTTAGTTTAATAGCACTTGTTAAAAAATGACAAAAAATCTAGGGGAAGGAACTAAAAATAAGGGTAGCGAAACACATGTATTTTTTAGGCCTCAACTACTGTGGATGGGTTTTCCTCAATGTTAGACATTGACCTGTAATCATGTCCTTTAATCTTTTATGAATTGTTGTCTTATTGGCAATCATTATACATGTATGTTATTTTACGTTTCATTATGTTTGTATATTTAGTCTTTTCTAATACAATTGACATAGACATACATGTACATGTATGCCAAAAATACATACATTGTAGGTCTTCTCCAATGTTTTAAAACCACAATTTTATAGTGTCAAAAATATAGTTATGATGGCATTTAAGAACCATGAAGTTTACCTTAAAGAATACCACAATTTTAGCTAGCCAGACCCGTTTAATGTAACCTTGATTTACACCTGGAAATCAGCAGATGGTTAAGAAGAAAACTTTTTCATGACAAAAAAATGACATCACTTTTCTGACTCTTAATTTTCATATAATCAACAATATGACCCTTTTCCAAATATGGCGCATGCAGTTAAGGCCAAATATTGTGGTTGGAGAGATTTTGAATTTGAATGTTTTTGATATAGACTGTAACACGTTCTTTAATCGATTTTAATAATATTACACATGTATGTTATGTTTAAACAGTTGCAATGGATTAAACAGATCACACCAACTGGTCTCCCTGAACACATATCCTCCGATGAAACTGTTCGTGTTGATTATGTTGTTGAAGGAAGAAGGAAATATGATGTGGTGAAATACAGATCAAACAATCGTGAAATGTACCAACTGATTATACGATCATTAACGGAGACTGATGCAGGGAATTATACATGTCAGATCTATCTTCCAAATCAGAATTACAAGGAATGGCCTCAAAAGTTGGGGGAATTAACTGTGCAAAGTAAGTTATTACAGGTGATTAAAGTTTGCCATGACATTGGTTGACATAATTTTAACCCATACAGTGATACATACATAAATATACTTTCTAGACTAAACAATTGTATTTTTTGTTGTCAGTTACATGTGACATGTATAATATGTGATAAAAGGAGGTGTGGTATGAGTTTCAATCAGACAACTACAGTATATAACATATGAAGTAGATTTACTTAACAACTTATAATGGTTTATACAATATAAAAATGGCAGTAAATTGTTTAGGCTCATACCAAACATATAAGAATATCTACACATTGTCTCATAATATAGAATTGATTTGTACAAATCTTAGAAGCAGGTAGAATGCGAGAATGTGCCGAGCATTACAGAACTATCCTGTTGCTAGCTGATTACAATTAACAGTTATGATTTGAGACAATGTATGATGGTTCTCTTTACCTTATCAAAATATGAAACAAACAACATTTGAAATAGATCCGTGAAGTTGTGTTTAATAATAAGAAGGTTTAAAGGGTGAATTTAAATGAGGAAAGAAACCATTATTACCTAATATTCAATTACAATGATGAATTAAAATATTTCATATATTGTGCAGATAGAATTCCTAAAATAATGTATTAATGTTTGTAGTCATAAAATATTTGAAGTGCCATCATGACACAATGAACATTCCCAAATTGAATAGTCCTTCACAAGGGAAGAAGCACAAAATAGTACGTTCTTTCTGATTCATCCATCAAAGAGAAATAATATATGTATACTGCAAAATCCTGCAGAAACTCATTATCAATGTCATAACAAGGCTTTATATGGTCAGCGACTGTGAAAGCCAAAGTTTATACAGTCCATGCATTTTGACTCTCAAATAGCACAGATTCAGTATAAATTAAAATACATATACATGTATTGCACTTCATAATTTTTTTTCTCTTTAATATCTTCAGCATATGTCAATAATTTGATAAAAGTCTTTCATGTTAGATTCATACCTGATTTTTATGGGAAGTCGAAAAGCATTCAATGAACATATTTAGTCCTGTATTATGACAACTTCATAAAAATAAAAAGGGACGTGTCTTAAGTTCTAGAAAAGATTTTATCAAGCAAAATTACCCATCAAATCAGTAAAAAAGAAACATTTTGTTGTTTAAAAAAAAAGTATAAATGAAACACAAAAACGGAACGAATAACCGATTACGTTTTGTAGTTTACATCGTAATGCATAAGCTGGTTCCCGGCTGACTTTACACTTTTTTGTTCCGTTAAATTCAAGTGGATTCCAGTTTATTTCATGCAATGCAGTAAAAAGAAACAAGAAATTTGTAATGAAGCATTTAATTTTATAATTTATCAGTTAATTGTCGAGCCTGCGACTTTTGTCGCAAAAGCAAGACATAGCGATCCTACATTCCGTTGTCGGCAGCGGCGGAGGCGTCCACAAATATTCACTCTGTGGTTAAAGTTTTTGAAATTTTAATAACTTTCTTAAAATATCCTGGATTTTTACCAAACTTGGACAGAAGCTTGTTTATGATCATAAGATAGTATCCAGAAGTAAATTTTGTAAAAAAAAAAATCCTGTTTATCCGTATTATGATCAAAAGCTAGTATCTACATGTAGAAGGAGATTTTGTAAAAATTTATTTCCTGTTTTTCCGTATATTACTTATAATTGAACTTAGTTTTTCTTCCAGTTAAGTTGTCATTACATACAGTCTGCAGTTAAAGTTTTTTAAACATTTATTAGATTCAAAAAACCATCCTGGATTTTTACCAAACTTGGACAGAAGCTTCTTACAATCAAAAGATAGTATCCAGAGGAAAATTTTTAATAATTTTTTCCCCATTTTTGTTGAGCCTGCGACTAACAGCAAAAGTAGGCGAGGCACTGGGTTCTGTGGAACCCTTGCAAATTTTATTTGATATTGAATAAAAATTGCATATTAAGGCAGGTTCCACATAAACCACGTGGACTGTAACAAGCCTGAATTCGGTGTTATTTTTTTGATTTGCATTTTGAATTCAGTGGGAGACCTTGATAAACTTAGGCACTGGCTACCGTTACATTGAAATGTATTAACAATAATAAAAAAGTTATTGTTACATTATGTACATTGGAGACTAATTGGTGGAATGCAGGGTTGGGTAAGGAACTGATTAATTACAAAATGTGCACGTCGGTTTTGCAGACTTTACAATTCCACTCTTCAATATCCCTTTTTGAAGTTATAGAAACTTTCTGCCATGCTTCAGGTGAAAATTATTTTTTCACTCTTACAATGTTTATATTTTCATCCAATATTTTTATTGGAAACATGTGAGGTTGTTTCATGTTGTCTTTTAATATCACAAATGCTTTAGATCAGGTACATCAGATTTTAAGAATTATTTTACAATTTCATAACAAAAACGAGACAAGAGAGTTTGAAAAGTCAGATTCGCAGATATATTATATTCATAAAACTAGCAAGACAAAATAGCAAATATATCGTTGGAAAAAAATTGCTGGGAAACTTGAAGTCTGTGTCACTTTAAATGTCAAATTTGTAACACGAATTAAATTATTTAAAATTCGCATGGATATTATGACCCATTGATATTTATATAGGAAAAAAACTTACTTTTGGTTTGGACATGCTCTATCTGATTTTGAAACGAAATTACATCCTCCATGAATACATGTATACAGAAGTTCGCAGTATTTTAGTTCACAGCTAGCAAACTTTGTTCTCTATTAAAATTCAAATTGATTTCTGAGCTGAGGCCAGGCCGCCTTAATTTCTCTAATTTGCATTTTAAGTTTGTGTAGTAATATTAAGTGTTTTGTCGAATTAATAAATCTCTATGTCCTCATATAGCCTTTAGTTGGCTTTTAATATTTTCATTGAGTGAGACAATACAAAATGTAAAGGAATGTATAATTTTTTTTTTCAAATTGGTTGATATATTTATAATTTATATTTATATGTTGCAATTTAAATTTAATAAAAGTGGTACCTGAAGTCACTGTCTGTTATTTGCCAACAAGTAATAATTATTAATTGGTATAATGCTCAGACATCTGTGACATGTATATTTATAATGATAAAATCAAGTGTAAAAACAAATAAAAATAAGTCAGGAACCTGTAGCTGAGTGGTTGTCGATTGCTCATAACTGTCATATTTGTTTTTATCCCCCTGCCAAATAAGTTTTACCCTTGTCCGTCTGTATGTACGTTCGAATGTACGTCCGTACGTCCCAAAATTGGTTTCCGTTCTCTAACTTGAGTTTGCCTCAACCAAATGTTATGAAACTTATACACAATGCTTATTACCACAAAACACAGATCAAGTTTGAATTTTGGTGGCGTCACTTTAACCGTTCTAGTGTTATGCCCCTTTATAAATGGAAAAATTGCAAAATTTTTAGTTTCCGTTCTCTAACTTAAGTTTGCCTCAACCAAATGTTATGAAACTTATACACAATGCTTATTACCACAAAACACAGATCAAGGTTGAATTTTGGTGGCGTCACTTTAACCGTTCTAGAGTTATGCCCCTTTATAAATAAAAAAAATTGCAAAATTTTTAGTTTCCGTTCTCTAACTTAAGTTTGCCTCAACCAAATGTTATGAAACTTATACACAATGCTTATTACCACAAAACACCAATCAAGTTTGAATTCTGGGGTCACTTTAACCATTATAGAGTTATGCCCCTATATACATTTATGGAAACATTGAAAATTTTGTATTTTCTTCTAAATATCAAGTAATTTTTAAAATTGGAGTTATCTTCCTTTGTCTATGATTATAGTTAAATCAACTACAATTAATGCTTTATACAATGCAATGTTTAATTTTGACTTCCACTGATAAAACACAGATCAAGTTGAATTTGGGTAGTGTCACTTTAACCATTATTGAGTTATGCCCCTTTATAAATCGAAAGATTGCAAAATTTTTAGTTTCCATTCTGTAACTTAAGTTTGCCCCAACCAAACATTATGAAACAGATATACACAATATTCATTACCCCAAAACTAAGATCAAGTACAAATTTTTTGTTTCTGTTTTCTAACTTTAGTTTGCCTCAACCAAATGTTATGAAACTTATACACAATGCTTATTACTACATAATACAGATTAAGTACGAATTTGGTGGTGACACTTTTACCATTCTTGAGTTATGTCCCTTTTTAAACATATGTTTCCGTTCTCTAACTTTAGTTTGTCTCAACCAAATGTTATAAAACTTATACACAACTGTTCTAGAGTTATGCGTGTTTACAAATAGAAAAATTGCTAAATTTTTAGTTTCTGTTCTCTACTTAAGTTAGTCTCAACCAATGTTTTGAGACTTACACTCAATGCTTATTACCACAAAACTCAGATCAAGTTCAAATTTGGGTAGCGTCACTTTTACCGTTCTTAAGTTATGTCCCTTTATAACTATATGATATGCAAGCGGGGGCATCATCTGTGTCCACATGTGGACACTATCCACATTTATTTTTTGGTAAATTGTTTTGTTATAAATTTAAATTAGGCCGTTAGTTTTCTCAATTGAATTGTTCCATATTTTTCATGTTGGGGCCTTTTGTAGCAGCCGCTGACTATACGTTATGGGTTTTTCTCATTGTTGAAGGCCGTACAGTTGCCTATAATTGCTTACATCCACCTCATTTGAACTTTGGTTGTCTCATTGGCAATCTTTATTTTACTCGATTATGTATAGAAGTAACGTTTACACTTTCAGTTACTTTTGGTTTTAAAACTTGTGTTAATTTTTCATTGTCAGAGAAACTCTAAAAGTCCTGTGTTCTATTCAGACACAAAGGTTTTATAATGTTATTTCAATTTTGTTTTCCCTTGTATTTATATTGGTGTCTTTAAATTTACTTTATTTTATCAAAAAAGTGACTTGTATACTATAAACTTTTTTTTGAGGACATCCCTGGAAAATTTACGTCACTGATGAGTCTTTTGTGACAAAACACACATCTGGCTTACAAAATTTTGATCCTGGTATCTATGAAAAGTTAATTACTATCTACTACACCTTTTTAGTTGGCGTCTTTGTTAGATTAATTTTTATGTTTGTTTGAATTTTTAAGTCAGCTGTGTTGTATGTCTGTGATGTATATTAACAAAGTTTTGGCTGTTGAATCCCAATTATTGTCACATTAACCTTTTATCATGTTTATTTCTGTTTGGGTTGCTAACCCAATTCCGTTAATTGATACCATTTGATTTTGTTAGTAATTTTATGGATTTCCTCTTTTTATACGACCGCCAAAAAATTTTGCGGTCGTATATTGGTGTGACGTTGGCGTAGTCGTCGTCGTCGTCGTCGTCCGAAGACACATTGGTTTTCGCACTCTAACTTAAGTTTAAGTGAATGGATCTCTATGAAATTTTACCATAAGGTCCAATACCACAAAAGAAAGCTTGGGATTGATTTTGGGGGTTATGGTACCAACAGTTAAGGAATTAGGGGCCAAAAAGCGGCCAAAAATAAGCATTTTTGTAACTTCCAGACATAACTTGTGTGTTAGTGTATGGATCTCTCTGACATTGTACCACAAGGTTCCATATCACAAAGGGAATGCTGGGATTGATTTTGGGGGTAATTGCCTCAAAATTTTTGGAATTAGGGGCCAAAAACAAGCATTTTTCTAGTTTCATGACAATAACTTGTGTGTAAGTCTATGGATCTTTCTGAAATTGTACTACAAGGTTCCATATCACAAAGGGAAAGCTGGAATTGAGTTTGGGGGTAATTTCCCAAAACGTTTAGGAAAAAGGGGCCAAAAAGGGGTAAAAAATAAGCATTTTTCTAGTTTCCAGACAATAACTTGTGTGCAAGTGTATGGATCTCTCTGAAACTGTACTGCAAGGTACCATACCACAAAGGGAAGTTTGGGATTGATTTTAGGGGTAATTGCCTCAAAATTTTAGGAATTAGGGGCCAAAAAGGGGCAAAAAACAAGCATATTTCTAGTTTCAGTACAATAACTTGTGTGTTAGTTTATGGATCTTTATGCAATTGTACTACAAGGTTCCATATCACAAAGGGGAAGCTGGGTTTGATTTTGGGGGTAATTGCTTTAAATGTTTAGGAATTTGGGGCCAAAAAACAAGCATTTTTATGGTTTCCAGACAATAACTTGTGTTCAAGTGTATGGATCTCTCTGAAATTGTACTGCAAGGTACCATACCACAAAGGAAAGGCTGGGATTGAGTTTGGGAGTGAAAAATCATAAGGGGATTCAAAAAATATGGGGGGGGGGGATTTTTTTTTCCTTTTTTTTTCTTTAAAATTTTCCATTTTAAATTGGTTATTTCTGATTTATATATAAAAGCGAATAATATTGATATGGTTTGAATAGGTATATTAAATTTTTTGAAGTTCTTAGACCACATTCATTCTGTGTCAGAAACCTATGCTGTGTCAATATTTTATCACAATCCAAATTCTGTGCTGTATCAAGCTTGAATGTTGTGTCCATACTTGCCCCAACTGTTCAGGGTTCGACCTCTGCGGTCGTATCAAGCTGTGCCCAGCGGAGCATTTTATTGAATTTGCCTTAGATTTCGGTATTTTTGTTAACTTATATAGCTTTTCTACACAGAAATGAACATGAAAGCTATTTCACTGTATAGAAAAAACATATATTGCTAGAAAGCTGTTTGTTGTATGTAAACATTTTACATAAAAACTGCAGACCACACAGGATTTTTTAATCATTCTTTTTATTCATGTTATTGTGAAAAAACAAAAAATATTAAACTGACAATACTTGAACTTTCATTTTTTATTCATTAGTTATTTAACAATTTTTCCAGTTGCTCCTACTATAAAAGCTGACAGTGCTGCCAGTATAACTGTACAGGAAGGACAAAATATCACACTGGTTTGTGAAGCTAACGGAAACCCTTCACCAAATATTACATGGAAAAGAGGAGATGGATTCCCACTGCCTAATGGTGGATTCCAGCAAAGGGTAAGGCAAAATACAAAAAAAATTGCTTCTCATGCTAGCTTCACAGTGACAGTCACCACTTTTGACTAGGTTGGACACAGTGAAAAACTGGCTTAGTTATAATAAGGATGTCAGGCAGATGGGCAGGTAGGGAAAAGTGTATCAAAAATCCCTGAGGCCACACATGATGAAGTTGTGCACCTGCTGCTATAAAATTGTGTTTTTTTCATGTTTGCCTGAAATGGATTAACTTAGTAATTTTGCAATTTAAAAAAGGATTGTACCAGTTTTATGTAATTAACTCCTGCTACAGTTTTCAACCAAGATTCCTGAAACATCACAGAAAGACTGCACCCATATATTGTAGTTGCACGTTAGCTCTTACTTACTTATTTGAGAAATTTTTTCCCATTTGTCTAGACTTGTGAACATGGTAATTTTTGTGGTAAAATTCACAAAAGACATGTACAGTAGCTATTATTGAAATCAAAAGTCTTTAGCTTAACAAAAGATATTAAATGTTATTAAAAGATTTGAAAAACAAATATATTACACACATTATGTATAGATAAATAAATTTGCTCTTTCCACTAGCTCTTCATTGCCAATGAACCTTTATGTCCCTCTTAAGGGAAACAACTATTCAAAACCGATTTCTGATTAAAGGGTCAATTTTGGAATTCTGTAATAGACTAGTTTGTTCTTATGTTGTTCTGTTACACCACTGTCCCAGGTTGGAGGGAGGGTTGAGTGCTCACAAACATGTGTAACCCCTCCACATTATGTGCCTGTCCCAAGTCAGGAGCCTGTAGTTCAGAGGTTGTCGTTGGTTCATGTTCAATTGAATTGTTTCATATTTTTCATAGGATAACAATATTTGGTATATTAGTTTCCTTGCAAGGTTTAGATGTCCGTCAGGTAGGGTTCACCTGACCTCAATCTCATTTCATGGATCAGTGATCAAGGTTAAAGTTATGTGGTTGTCCTTTCCTCAGATACTATAAACAGTTGGTCAGTTATATTTGGTGTATAGAATGATTGTAAAGGGTACATGTCTTACTGGCAGGTTTTATCTGACCTTGACCTCAATTTTATGGTTCATTGGACAATGTTTAGTTTTTTTGGTTTGGTCTATTTCTCATATATTTTAAGCAATGAGGCCACTATGTTTGGTGTATTGAATGATTATAGTGTGTGCATGTCCAACTGGCAGGTTTTATCTGACCTTGACCTCACTTTTATGGTCCATTCGACAATGGTCAATTTTTTTGGTTTGGTCTATTTCTTAGATACTATAAGCAATAGGTCAAACATACTTGGTGTGTGTTATATTTGTAAGGTGTACATGTATGTCTGGCAGATTTTTATGATCTTGACCTCATTTTCATGGTTCATTGGTCAATGATAGGTTTTTTGGTATATCAGTTACTATAAATAATAGCTAGGTCTTTTTAGGACCACTATGTTTGTTGTATGGGATGATTGTTAGGTGTGCATGTCTGTCTGGCCTAGTTCATCTGGCTGACTTCATTTTCATGGATTATTGATAATGTTAAATTTATGTGATACTTGTAGTATAACCTTCACATTACAGATTTTCAACATGAATTCAATCATAAGTAAAACAGGCAAGACATTTCATCATGTGCAGTCTTGTTTGTATATCCTTGGACACTGCTGATAAACAGATTTGTTCAAGAAAAAACACTAAACAGCAATAATAATAAAATGAAAGAACAGTAAGCACATTTACCAGATCTTCCTCAGAAGTATTGAATTAATGCTACATTGTACATATCAAACTAACACTATAAATATAATTACACTTTCAGGGTGGTACTTACAACGTTTACCAAATCAATGCTACAGATCGTGGACAGTTTATTTGTATTGCTGATAACAATGTTAAACCACCAGCATCGTATACAGTGCAGCTTGAAGTAAGATTTTCTCCTTACTGTACAGCTATCCAGGATACTGTGGGTCAGGCACAAAATCGGAGGTTTCATGCAAAATTAGAGTGCTTAGTAGCAGGTAAGCTTTTATAAGTTAATCTACTGTACTATGTGTAACAATTTGACTAATGTGGATAGGTTGGAATATTATTTATTTCATTTTTCCTTTTATGTTATTTTCCTTCTCTGTGTACATAAAAATAATAGCTAGTTCTTTCTACCATCTTCTGTTGTAGGTCATTGACTTAAAATTTTGGCATTCTTTACATGTTAAAGTATTGATATTTTAATGTCAACATTTGCATTCAACTATCAAAATATCATACAGACAAGACATATCTCTCTGTCAACAGTTATTACTTTTTGCAATTAAATTTTTTTTTGTTAAAATAAACAATTTTAGTAGAAATACCACAGGTCATGGGCTCACTACTTGTTAGTAACCTGAACAATATATACAATTGTTTTTACAGAAATTTATAAATTCTTGCGGTCAAGAATAAATACTGATATATATATATTAAAACTTTCCAGAAGTCTGTTATGCTATTATGCAATTTATAAAATATGACCATGTCATTATTGAGGGTCTGAATGGGTGGTTCTTCATTTTTGTATTCTTTATTTTTGGGGGCTTTTCTGTTATCAGAATTTAATTAACTAATTCAGTTATATTCCCCAGTAATTCTTAATACTTTTGCACGATATTATTCTCTATTCTTTATTTTTTGCTCTTTTTTTCTCTATTAATATATTTTTGCCATTATTCTCCATTCTGTTAACCCCACCCAGGCCCTCATTACAATAAAAGGAACATGTTCTTTAACTTTAATGTAACATTTAAGGGGATATTGAATTTTAGAATCATTTAATAAAAATATAAATAAAATATCCCTGAAAATGGCATGTTATTTAGCCTTATGATAGATGTATCAATAACCATTGATTATTTTAAGGCTTTTCAATAAAACTTGTTTTATTATGATTCCTTAAAAAATACAATGAAAAGCAATATAGTCTCATTTTATTATGTTAAGTTGCAGAAATTTAAAAATTCAAAATGTTAAAACCACTTGTTAGTCATTAAAAGATATGCAATCCGGAGAAATTCTAAGCCTTTAAAAATATGGTGAACAATTTCTTCGGAAGCTAAGAATGTATGCATCACCAATCATCGTCCTTTGGTCTATAGTAAAACTGTTGTCTAATTGGCAATCATACCACATTTCATTTTTTTCATATACTCTCAAAATAAAATGTCTCAGCTGAAATTTCAGACTGAAAAAGTATACTTATATAGAAAAGTATTCAGATATATTGTATATATATTGACCTTTAGTTTGAATTGAATTTTCTACTGTTATCAGGTATTTCAAGGATAATATGCCATTATTGTTAATATATATGTATATTTTTTATACATAGCTAATCCTAGAGCAGAAGTTATATGGTACAAAGAAAACAAAGCAACACAAGAAAAAGAACAAATTCAGGACAATGACAAATACACATTAGAACAACAAGATGATCAGAGATTGAAAGCTGATGAGAAGTGGTACACTCTTTCAATAGAAAATGTACAAGGAAATGATTATGGAGATTATTATTGTACAGGGAAAAATGAACATGGAGAAAATGAAGCTAAATTTCAACTTTTTGGTATGTATATAAAATGTATTATAAGTTGTCATGTTGTCATATTTCTGCTTTAGGTTATTACCTAGGAATTTTATTTTTGTGGGTTTTGTGCATCATAGAAGTTCATGATAGATATAAGAAGATGTGGTATGAGTGCCAATGAGACAACTCTCCATCCAAGTCACAATTTGTAAAAGTAAACCATTATAGGTCAAAGTACAATCTTCAACACGGAGCCTAGGCTCACACCGAACAGCAAGCTATAAAGGGCCCCAAAAATGACTAGTGTAAAACCATTCAAACGAGAAAACCAAAGGTCTAATCTATATAAAAAACGAGAAACACTTATGAACCACATCAACAAACGACAACTACTGAACATCAGGTTCCTGACTTAGGACAGGTGCAAACAAATACAGTGGGTTTAAATGTTTTAATAGGTACCAACCTTCACCCTTATCTGAAACAATAGTGTAACATCACAACATAGAAAGACACACTTTAAAATATCAATTGAAATAGCTTAACTCAATCAAAAGACATATTAACACAAGTGAACATACATTGAACGAATAAATTTCGATCTATGATACAATGTAAATACAAAATCAATAAAATAAAATAAGGGGTGAATAAATAAAGGCAACTGTAGTATACCGCTGTGAGATGTTAAACAATTTAAAAAAAACAACAATAACCTTGAACAAAAAGCCGCCAAATACAATAATATACACAGGTTAATGAAAATAATTTTGTCGTAAGGTATACAGTTTAAATGGAGAACGGAAATATTTTTTACAAAATAAATAATTTTTTTGTTCATAGTATGAAGAAGTGAAAATTTATAGTCATACCAAACACTTATCAAAGCTGGTATATAGACGAGATATAACCCTGAATAAGTAAACATTAAATAACAAAAAAGCATTACAAATAGTATCAACAGGTCAAATTAACAAGAAAGTACGATTTGAGAGTACTAGCAGTTACTGACAGCTAGTTAAAAGCCAAAAACAATTAATAATAAAAAATCATGCATCAGAGACTAAAATCAACTAAAACACATCCCAGGGATTTAGTATTTTAACGTCCTGGACAGTCAAAGAAGACATGATTTGTGCAATGCCAAAAATAAATGACAGGCAGTAGGATAGTTAGGAGTTAACCTCTTTAAAGAAAAAATGAACGTGGATGTGTCTTTATACATCCCGTTTGAAAAGAATACAAATTTAATTATGTTTTAACTTGCTGATGACAAAATCGATATTTGTGCCCATGTAAACTATATTCAAAGATCTAATTACAACATTGGTAAGATAACCCTTACTAATAAGTTTGTTTAAAGGTTGATGAGTTTACACGGATCACATAGTGATTTCCGCGCTTTTAGTACAATATTATTACTTTAAAATTTAGGATGTGAAATACCGTTTTTAATAAGTTTTCTACAGGTACAGCCAAATTTACTAATCAAATCTTTGTATCTATGAAAGAATTTAGTAAAAGTTTTAAGTAATTTATGGTAACGAAATTCCTGACTTAATAATTTACCAGTGATGCATTGATTACGTTCTTTAAAATCTATGACATCACTAAACACACGGGCATAACGAACGAGTTGGGATATATAAACACATATGATGGTGCCAAAGGAACATCGCAGTCTAAAAAAGGAAAATCAACAATAGGGAATGAAAAATACACTTTATCGCCGAAACGTATATATATGTTGTCCAGGAGAAAATTTAAAGCTTCAATCATATCTTCACATTTCCAGTAAGTGTATCTAGCATACTTTCCTTTTTCGTTACAGAAAAAGGCTTTAAACGAGTTACAGCAAATAAATTCGCAATAAGATTTTTCAAAAGACCATTTAATTAAATTTGAAAACTTTTTCTTGATAAGATTGTGTGGAAGTGTAGTGTAGAGAGTAGAAAAATCAAAACTGTCAACAGAATTAAAAGGACCATCAAAAGCATGTATTTTATCTAAAACCTCTAAAGAATTTTTAACACTCCAAAAATAATTAATACCATTATTTTCATAAGCTTTATTACAAAAGTTAATAACAAGTTCTTTGATAGTAGAAAGGGAGGAAGTTAGAAGCACTGATAGATTAGTAGTAGAACAATTACTAGATGCGGAGATGAAATGGAATTTAAATGGTTTTTTGTGCAATTTAGGTAACCAGTACATAGTAGGGACTTTCAAATGTTGGGAAGAGGCTTTAAGCTGGGTAGTGGCAGTGATATGCTTGTTTACAATTTGACTCTCTGTGGAGCGTACAGACCTAAATGTAGAAGAATTGATAATTTCATTTTGGAGAACTTCCGTGTAGTATATGCGTCACACCACCACTACATTATTGGCTGCTTTGTCTGCCGGTACGAACACAAACCGCTTTGCGAGTACTTGGAGTTTATTTTTTATTCTAGAAATGGCAATATCATGGACCCTATTATTAATTTCAGAATTTTTTTCAAAATGAGATATACGAATATCAACAGTATTCATAATTTTATTCAAATAACTGTCTAGAGATTTTTTATCAGATTTTTCATGTTTACACCAATTTTTGAGGTCTCCTGTAATGACATGACCATAGGGAACATATCTAAAACTAGATGTTTCACAGTCTCAAGTGGAAGGAACCTTATTTTCTATATTGACGTCTGATGTAACTGACATATAATTAAAAATCAATCTTCTGCTGGTTTTTATACGACCGCAAAAATTAAAAATTTTTTGGTCGTATATTGGTATGACGTTGGCGTCGTCGTCGTCGTCGTCGTCGTCGTCCGGCGTCGTCTGGCGTCGTCCGAAGACACATTGGTTTTCGCACTCTAACTTTAGTTTAAGTTTATGGATCTCCATGAAATTTTACCATAAGGTTCAATACCACGAAAGGAAGGTTGGGATTGATTTTGGAGGTTATGGTACCAACAGTTAAGGAATTAGGGGCCAAAAAGGGGCCAAAAATAAGCATTTTTGTAACTTCCAGACAATAACTTGTGTGTAAGTGTATGGATCTCTCTGACATTGTACCACAAGGTTCCATATCACATAGGGAAGGCTGTAATTGATTTTGGGGGTAATTGCCTCAAAATTTTAGGAATTAGGGGCCAAAAAAGGGGCAAAAAACAAGCATTTTTCTAGTTTCATGACAATTACTTGTGTGTAAGTGTTTGGATATTTCTTAAATTGTACTACAAGGTTCCATATCACAAGGGGAAAGCTGGAATTGAGTTTGGGGGTAATAGCCCGAATCGTTTAGGAATTGGGGGCCAAAAAGGGGCCAAAAATAAGCATTTTTCTAGTTTCCAGACAATAACTTGTGTTCAATTGTATGGATCTCTCTGAAATTGTACTGCAAGATACCATACCACAAAGGGAAGGCTGGGATTGAGTTTGGGGGTGATGAATCATAAGGGGATAAAAAAAATTTGGGGGGGTAGGGGGGGGGAGTGGTTTTCTTTTTTTTTCTTTTTTTCCTTTTTTTTTTCTTTTAAAATTTTCCATTTTAAGTTGGTTATTTCTGATTTATATTTAAAAGCAAATAATAATGATATGGTAGGAAATACACACCAAACAGGATGTGTAAATTATTATACAATAAGTATTGTGCAATAGCAAGAAATTTTCAATTGCACAGTATTGCACAATAGCAAGAAATCTTCAATTGCACAGTATTGCGCAATAGCAAGAAATCTTCAATTGCACAGTATTGCGCAATAGCAAGAAATATCCAATAGCACAATATTGCGCAATAGCAAGAAATTATCAATTGTACAGTATTGCGCAATAGCAAGAAATATTCAATTGCACAGTATTGTGCAAAAGAATATACTTTGTATAAATTGCTTATTTCTTGATCAATTTCAATGGGGTTTTATTCTTGAATTCTTGGGGTTCTTTAATATGCTGAATCTAACCATGTATTAAGTTTTTGGATTTTGGGCCCTGTTTTTAAATGGGTCCACATTGAGGTCCAAAGGGTCCAAAATTTAACTTTGTTTGATTTCATCAAAAATTGAATTATTGGGGTTCTGTGATATGCCGAATCTAACTGTGTATTTAGATTCTTAATTTTTGGTTCCGTTTTCAAATTGGTCTACATAAAGGTCCATAGGGTCCAAAATTAAACTTAGTTTGATTTCAACAAAAATTGAATATATGGGGTTCTTTGATATGCTGAATCTAACCATGTATTTAGATTTTTGATTATGGGCCCAGTTTTCAAGTTGGTCCAAATCGGGGTCCAAAATTAAACTTTATTTGATTTCAACAAAAATTGAATATATGGGGTTCTTTGATATGCTGAATCTAACCATGTATTTAGATTTTTGATAATGGGCCCAGTTTTCAAGTTGGTCCAAATCGGGGTCCAAAATTTAACTTTGTTTGATTTCAACAAAAATTGAATATATGGGGTTCTTTCATATGCTGAATATAACCGTGTATTAAGTTTTTGGATTTTGGGCCCCGTTTTTAAATTGGTCCACATTGAGGTCCAAAGGGTCCAAAATTTAACTTTGTTTGATTTCATCAAAAATTGAATTATTGGGGTTCTTTGATATGCCTAATCTAACAGTGTATTTAGATTCTTAATTTTTGGTTCCGTTTTCAAATTGGTCTACATAAAGGTCCAAAGGGTCCAAAATTAAACTTAGTTTGATTTCAACAAAAATTGAATATATGGGGTTCTTTGATATGCTGAATCTAACCATGTATTTAGATTTTTGATTTTTGGGCCCCGTTATCAACTTTGTCCACATTGAGATCAAAAGGGTCCAAAATTAAACTTTGTTTGATTTCATCAAAAATTGAATTCTTGGGGTTCTTTGATATGCTGAATCTAACCATGTATTTAGATTTTGGATATTGGACCATAATAGGTGAATGTCCAATTTAAAATTTTTAAGTTCTTAGACCACATTCATTCTGTGTCAGAAACCTATGCTGTGTCAAATATTTAATCACAATCCAAATTCAGAGCTGTATCAAGCTTGAATGTTGTGTCC